TTTTTTTTTTTTTTTTTTTTAGTAGAATGACTAAAAAATATGTGTCATTATAGAATTTAATTGCAGTAAAATTATTTGATTTTAATCATCTCGAAATGTGAACAGAATCACAGGAAGGTGGTGATAAAAAATCTTTTACGGACTTCCATTCATGCTAAACAAACTTTTTTCTCCTGCTCGATTTATTTTTCATTAAATACATCATTAATTATAAATAAATACATTTCCGTTATTCCGTTAAATTCACAGAAAATTATCATAAATTAATTAATATGTTACGTCATTTTTCAATATTTTATTTTTGTTTCATACGTAAAGAATATATTCTTAATACTCATCATATAATTATGTATATTATGTACCATATTATAATATATAATATTATGTAATATATAATATGTATTAACAAATATGTATTAACAAATTCTGTATTTGAATTGTGAAAGCAAGCATACAAACTATTTAATATTTTTAATAATGAAAAAATTTAAAATAAATGTAACATTTTTATAAGAAATATATTTACAACTATGTTTTTTAGATTTTATTTCAAAGTTATACTTAAACTTGTACTTATCCTCGTGAATAATATTAAACACCTCAAAGGGCTAATAATAATAAATATTTGTATACCAACATTTTCATTGGATATCAACGCGACATTCAGAATTACAGAGCCATCTTTAAATATTCGTATTCGATTTGCTCGAAAATTCCGTATCTGTTAAAAAGGAAGTGTAAAAGATTCTATAAGGCAACAAATGATGTGCATAATATTTAACTTTTATTAACGTTAATTTGTAGTAATATATAAAAGCTATATGAAATTGTTACTCCAATAAAATTCTAAATAATTTACTCATAAAATAAAATTAGATATATGAATAAGATATATTTTACGTGCCTGTTTTTTTTATAAACTAATATTTACTAAACATCATAAAATCAATTTCTCGTGTAAAATATATCGATATCACAACATCGAGATACTGCAACTAAAAGTCAATAATCGATACAGAAACGAAGCTTTAGAATTTCTGGTAAGTTCTATGAAATTGATTACTTTAAGCGAACTGCGAGGTCGTGCGAGGTGCGTTAGTTTCTGGAATTTACTTGAACGTTTTTGCTATTACATAAAGCGGTATTTTATAATAAGAGTATCATTTGAAAATTTTGAAGAAGTAAGTATTCTTCCATATTTTATATATTTTTATTTCTGTGAATAAATAAATATATATATTTATACATATATTTATTTTTTCTTCTATTTCTATGATGATTATTTACATTAATGTTCATTGTTTTTGTTAAAAAATTTGTATAGAAATTACATAATTCATATTATTATATATATTGAGTTTCAAAGAAATTTTGTTGTATATTATTTTTTGTGTATGCTGTTTACTTTACAATTTTATATTGATAATCAAATTTATTGTTTTTAGAAAGAATAAACGAAACTAAACAAAAAATGTATTTAATATTTGTTTTTTTGAATCTAGAATGGCTATAGACATATCTCCAAATAAGGATAAAGGTGTTCTGAAAGAAATAATAAAAAAAGGTGTGGGAGATGAAACTCCATCACCTGGAAGTACTGTAACAGTACATTATACAGGTACTTTATTGGATGGAACAAAATTTGATTCGAGCAAAGATCGTAACGAACCATTTCAGTTTGAACTTAAAAAAGGAAGTGTAATTAAAGCATGGGATATAGGAATAGTTACTATGAAAAAAGGTGAGATTGCACTATTGACATGTGCTCCTAAATATGCATATGGGAAAAATGGTAGCCCACCTAAAATTCCTCCAGATGCAACACTTAAGTTTGAGGTAAATTATTAAGTTAAAATCTTCAATCAATGTAATATCAATTTTGTTTTAAACATGTTTTATTTTAAACATGTTTAAAATTTCAATTTAATTTCAGATTGAAATGATTGATTGGAAAGCAGAAGATTTAAGTCCCGAAAAAAATGGAAGTATTGAAAGATATCAAATTATACAAGGAAAAGATTACATTACTCCACAAGAAGGAGCTCTAGTAAATAGTAAATATAAATTGTATGATATTTTTATTTCACATTATTTCTATCCTACTCAAAATTTCTTTTCTTCTTTAGTACATTTAGTAGGCACATATAATGGGAAAACATTTGAAGATAGAGATGTACAATTCTCTCTTGGAGAAGGAGAAGAGTGTGGTGTTGTAGAAGGTGCAGAAAAAGCTTTGGAAAGCTTTAAAAGCGGAGAAAAATCAAAGCTCAAGATTAAAAGCAAATATGCATTTAAAAACATTGGAAAAGCTGAATTTGACATTCCACCGAATGCAACTGTAGAATATACAGTAGAATTAAAGAACTTTGAAAAAGTAATTATTCCATTAAAATATGCAAAATGATAAATTAATTGTATTATTCTTTAACATTATTAACATATTTCATATATATTTCAGGCTATTGAATCTTGGTCCTTGAAAAATAATCAGCAAATAGAACAAGCTAAAATCTACAAAGAAAAGGGAACAAATTATTTCAAGACAAATAAATATAACTTAGCAATTAAAATGTACAAGAAAGTTATCTCATTTTTGGAATATGAAGGTAATTTTAAAGGGGATCTAAAAACAGAAAGAAATGATCTTATTTTATCAGCGCATTTAAATTTGGCATTATGTTACTTAAAAATGGATCAAAATGTTGAAGCAAAGGATTCGTGTAATGAAGCTTTGAAGCTAAATCCACAAAATGAAAAAGCTTTATTCAGAAGAGGACAAGCATATTTTGCACTAGCATCACCTGAAATTGCAATTAAAGATTTTCAGGAAGTTTTAAAAATAGAACCAAAAAATACAGCAGCTGTGAAACAAATCAGAATTTGCAATAATTTTATTAAAAAGCAATTAGCAAAAGAGAAAAAACTATATGCAAATATGTTTGACAAATTTGCCCAAGAGGATAAGCAGGTTTGTGAAAAACAATAATAATCTTATGTAATACAGGCCAGAAGTATTTAATTTTTTTTTATACACTTGTATGTATGGGTTTAATCATTATAGCATGGCTTATTTATATTATAATTCCCAATAAAAAAAATATGTAAAGCACAATAATGTTTATTAAATAAAATTAAATCAGGTTTAATTAAAAATAAATTTGTGACATGATACGTTTGACCATAAATTGTTAGTAATGTCACAGAAGGAAGAGGAGAAGCTGCGAGATCAACCAGATGTGATGTGTGGGGCTTTGGGTGAATGGGGACAGGAAGAACGACCAGGAGGAAGAGATGCAACTGCTTTTGAAAAGGAGAATCCTAATATACTTATGCTTAATGCTAATGGTACTGATGAATTTCAAAATATGTAAAATATTGACTATATCTATACCCCATTCCTTATACTTATGCCCCAGTTTTAACTGTCAACAGTATGAAATTTTGTTAACTATTGGTTTGTAATGTGTTTCAAGTACATTACTTTAATACCATCATACAAAAATGCATGTCATATAGTTTATTAATATTCTGTGACATACGATACAGCCTAGTCAAGAAATCTCATATTTTGTATAATTAAATCAGAACTTTCTTGTTCATTTTTTATAGAAATTTAACATCACATATATTTAAATCATACAATAAGAATTATCAAATTTAATTCAAATTTCCTTTGTAATATAATTGATATTTATTCACAAGCCTGTATTTAAAATTATAATGTTTATATTTATATCATTACACATTTTCATTCCATATAATTGTAATAATATGATAAAATTTAATCATAATAATATATAATTCTTGAACAAGTTACATTCTTGAACTTCATTTACTTTTATGTAAATAATTTTATAACGTACGAGTTACTGTAAAATAAGGTAAGTAATTATCATTTTGATGTTTTGTATTACTTATTAAAAATTTGTATTACTTATTAAAAATTAAAAATCATAATTTTAATATATTAATATATTATTTTTTATAATAAAACTTTTTCTAAATTAAAAATTAATAGAAAAATATATGTTTAGTAGTGAAAATTTGTAAAATTCTTTTTAAATATTTAAATGTATGTTTTGTTCTTTAATAATTATTACTTAATATATAATTTTTACAAAATATATAAATAATTTTTTATATAAGCAAATATTTATGTTCGTTTTTAAAACTTTGAAATGAAAATACATATATACATATAACCATATATTAAAGAATTTTTACTAACTCGCTTAGCAACAGTAATGTTGATGCAGCAATAAAGATTGTGACAAAAAACTGATAGCTTAGATAGTTGAAACGTAAATATCGAGACTGTAATATGATTACAATTCCAACAGACAATAAATAAATGAAATTAATAAATATGTTAATAAGAATTTAAAATTTGTAATATGATAAGAAATCATACAATTTTAGAATTAACTGAAAGTAAATTATAAAAATAAATATTGTAAAATATATTAAATTACATATTTATGTTTTTCGTATTGGCTATTTTTTTTTTTTTATGAATATTGCAATATATCTTGCAATCTTATTGGTAACTGTTATTATTTCTATATGTTCAAACCAATGATAGATCTCAATATACATATATTACTACCACAAATTCGGCAACTATTAACAGTACACATATTTAGGAGATCAGCGTGAAACTACAGACGCATATAATCATTACCTCTCAATAGGATTGAATTGAAGTCGTTATTAAGAGTAATTGAGGAATTACTTGTTTTTTAAAATGCCTAATATTATAAACGATATCAAATTAGATTTTAAAGATGTTTTATTACGTCCAAAGAGGAGTACGTTAAAAAGCAGAGCCGAAGTAAGTACTATTTATGTATGTAAATTTTATGAAGCTCGATGTCAAATCTATATTCATTTTTATTATAATAGAATATAATTAAATTCCATATATTTTATTGCAATGTTTTGTAATATATTGTTACATTTTTTATAATACATGGTGTTATATGTCTATAAAATAAAACTATTCTTCTTATTGATATGAAAATATTAAAGCTTTTATCATTTTATTACTAGTAAATAATAAAAACAAATAATAACAAATAATAAATTTAATATCATAGCCATAAAAAATTTATGTATTGGCAATTTAATATATTGTCAAACACATGTATATTTATATTTGTATCCACATGTGTATTTATTCTTTATAAATACTTATTAAAGTAATCTGTTGTTCAATATTAATGAAGAATATATGTTACATTTTTAGGTCGATTTATTTACAGAAATTACATTTCGTAATTCAAAACAAACTTACAAAGGAGTACCTATAATCGCCTCAAATATGGATACAGTAGGAACATTTGAAATGGCTAAAGCTTTAGCAAAGGTATATGTCAAATGTTTATCTTTTACTATATGTCAAATGTTTATATTTTACTATAATAGAACTGATACTTCTTTGTAATAAAAATTATTATAGTTAATAGCTATATATAGTTAATAGCTATATATTGATTATCTACTAAAATATTTAAAAAAAATTTCTATTATATTAAATATAGCATTTTAACTATGTTATTTTATTGTAGAGTTACAAAATGTGAACAAATTTGATATTTTCATATCCCTTTTATTACATTTTTAGTTTGGTCTATTTACTACTGTTCATAAATATTACTCGGTGCAAGAATGGAAAGATTTTGCTACTGAAAATCCTAAGGATCTGAAATATGTAGCTGCTAGTTCTGGCACAGGAAAGGAAGACTTTGAACGATTGTCAAATGTTTTGACAGCTGTACCCGAATTATCTTTTATTTGTTTAGATGTAGCTAATGGTTATTCTCAACATTTTGTTGAATATGTTAGGAAAGTGAGAGCTGAATTTCCTAATCACACAATAATTGTAAGTAATGATGTTATATCATAATTTTTAAAAAAAAAATAAAAATTTAATTTTTAATTATTAATTTAGACCTTGTATTTAAAAGTAAATATTTATTAATGTTATTGTAGGCAGGAAATGTAGTTACTGGTGAAATGGTAGAAGAATTAATATTATCTGGAGCTGATGTAATAAAAGTTGGAATTGGTCCTGGATCTGTATGCACTACGCGAATGAAAACTGGTGTAGGATATCCACAATTAAGTGCTGTAATTGAATGTGCAGATGCAGCTCATGGTTTAAAAGGACATATTATTTCTGTAAATAATAATATATTACATTATGATATGATTTTTTTTATGATACATAATACAAAACTTATTATGATAAATGTATTTTGTTTTAGGATGGTGGTTGCACTTGTCCAGGTGATTTAGCGAAAGCTTTTGGTGCTGGGGCAGATTTTGTAATGGCAGGTGGTATGTTTGCTGGACATGATGAATGTGGAGGTGATACTATAGACAGAAATGGCAAAAAATATAAACTGTTTTATGGTATGGCTTCCAATACAGCAATGAAAAAACATGCTGGAATTGCTGAATATAGGTTGGTATATTGAATTATTATTTTGAAAGTAAAATATATTCTGAAGTTTATTTTTAGATCATCAGAAGGTAAAACGGTGGAAGTGCCTTATAAAGGTCCAGTGGAAACTACTGTATTAGATATATTAGGCGGTTTGCGATCTGCATGCACATACACAGGCGCTGAAAGATTACGTGAACTACCACGTCGTGCTACATTTATACGTTGCACACAACAATTAAATCCAATGTATGGTCCGCCACCAGAAATCTGAAGTCATTTTAATTATCAAATTTATTGTAGTACACATGTAGAAAAAATATTATTACTAGATCGATTAACAAATGCTATTATTTGCTGGCAAATAATGTTTATGTAAAAATTTAAAAGCTTCAAGTAATGTAAATGTACATACATTTTGATGACAATTTTAAATTGCACTGAATTCAGTGAGTTCAAAAGAAATAACGCTTAAGAGCACAAACATATACTTTATTTTTATATTTATATTCTTTTTATGAGTAATTCATACTTAACTGTACATAAACATATATATGTCGTTACGTATATTCAATATACAAATAGAATCTGCCAATATTACAATTAAATATTCCTAAATGTATTTTGTAAAATTAGAAAAATTATGTGTTTGATACACATATGCATATATAATTTTTATTAAGTTAATTACATATGTACATATGTATAAAGTAAATTTACATAGTGCATGTGCGTAGTACAAATTATATAATATATATACCAAATATAAGATGCTAATAAAAATATTAAAATCTGGAATTTTGAAATATCGAATTGATCATTTTATGAATAATAAATAATTATATATCAGATTTTGTTTCATTAAGGAAATTCATTAATTTCGTTTCATTTTATTTCTCTTCATCAAATTAATAATATTTCAAAACATAGTATTTCTACAAACCTTGTCATGAATCGATTCGCTTTCATGTAAAAATTGTCGATGCCAATATTTTATATTAATAAATATCGTACATTTCAAATATCTATTTTTTGAATTTATTGAATACGTATGAAAAATAAGTATCATCTTTGTTCCTGAAACATTTTCATTATTCTTATGTAACGTTATAAAATTACAATATAATTTTTAAGAAAGTTCTGCATTAATTTAATTAATTTAAATAGTATTGTATATTAATTTTCTAATCATTAAAAAATGAAATAATTACTTTGATTATAAGTTGTAATTGATATATAAAACATAAATTTAAATATACATTTTTTACACTTATTGCTGTAATATAAAATAAAAACATTCTTCTGAATTTAAGCATTTATGTTTATAAAATTTCTCGTAGTTACTAATTATGCCTAAACGAATATTAGAAAATGGAAACATATCACAATTTGAGATTGTTGTAAAAAAGTTATAAAAATACATGTTACTAAAAATCATACCAAAGCGCAGCCAGTTTAACTCAACTGCAACAAAAAGGATAAATCAAAATTTGTATTTTCGTATTATAAAATTCTATAAAAAATACAATTCTAAAAGAATTTATTTTGGAATTATTATTATTACCTATATGTAGAGATTATGATCCAATAACATCACATTTTTATAAAATTTTATTTCAATCATATTATTTTCCTATGTTCAAATAGATTTGTACATACAGATATTCAACCATAAAAATAAACTATAATATTATATAGTATTATATAGTATTATATAGTATATATATAGTATTATAACAACAGATACAGGTATACAAAACAAATAAAATCCTGAAAAATTAAATGTTTGACACGTACAAGGAAGATAATATGTTTATAAAGTGTATAAAAATATGAGTAAAAAAAATAATTTTATTATTTAATAATAACACGTACAAGGAAGATAATATGTTTATAAAGTGTATAAAAATATATTATGAGTAAAAAAAATAATTTTATTATTTAATATGTGTATTAATACATGTATAATAATAGTTGCTATTTATCTTTGAAACTGAATGCTTTCTTTCATCATTGCAAGAATAAATTACAGTATATTTTAAAAATATAAATAACAACAAGTTTTTGTTTAAAATTTTGTCTATGTATTCAAAACCACATGCAATTTATAATTAAAATTAAATAATAAATATACAATTCTATGTTCTTACAATACTTAGTTATGTAATATTAGATTTACTTTAATAAGTAAAATATTATATATTTTATAAAAAGAAATAATAAAAACATAACAAAAAATTGATAATCATATTTGCAAATATATCATTTCTATTTGAATAGTATAAATATAGAAAGAATAGAAAATATTTAGATATTGTAAATGATAAAAAATTTACAAATTCAATTTTGATAAAATGAATGATTTGAAAATTAAGTTTACACATGACTAGTAAAATTTGTTAACAATTATTACATTATAATTAATATATTTTTGTGAATTATTTGATAAAATTAGTAAATAATGTATAAGATTCTATAAGTTATATATAATAAATAATGTATGATTTAATATGCCATCCATTAATCTCCAATTTAGCGGGTCCTGATTCCTTTGAATATAAATACACAGAATGCTGAATGAAAGTCTTAAAATCGTAGATCCCCTTGATGAAATTTATCGTAGGATAACATCCCTACAACTGGCTGCTCCAAAAATCTAAAATAGTAGTGGTATTTGACAAGAAAAAGCAAAGGAACCAAGGTAAAATTGTATTTAGTATTATTATAATAGCATATATATGTATACCATCATAAGGGTAGCATATTCTCTTGCATACATAATAGATAAAACAATTCATGAACAATAGAAACGAATCTTAGCTGTCTTACAGTCAGCTTTATACTTATAAAATTTACCTAATTCACTAAAGATAAATGTTTCATGAATGAACCAATGAAACATAAATAATGATATATCGAAATAAGTATCTAGATGTATTTCTTATCAATACAGTGGTAAGGATAATTTTTAGTATCTTTAATGATAAATGGGAAGCATAATATGGGTATTTTGTTGCAGATTCCTCGTTCCTGTTTCTCACCTGCTGCTTCACCTGCCAGTTTCAATTTATGTTACAATCAGGTGTTATGGAACAAAAATACATACAATAGTATAAGTAGAACACAAGTAGACATCATGTTAATATCATATTATAATGTTAATGTAAATTTCTGGCATTTCTTATTACTTAAAATTAAAACCATGAGTATCCTACAATATATATATATCTATGTATATAAAAAACACAAAATATTATAGTATAAATAGAACATAATTGGTTCTAGTGGCATTTTTTAAAGTTTATGGATTTTACGAAGCGATCAACTATCGTATTGTAAACAGTATATGAAGTTACAGCAGGCATTAACCGCATCCCGATGGGAAACTATCTGAAAACTATCTGAAATAAACAAACAATTGTAATAAAACACATGAAGTATATAAAAATGTAAATATACTTTCAAAGGTGTAAAATATATCATATTAATATTTAAATAAAACATTAAAGTATTTGTTATTTTTATAAACATTTAACTCCCTGAAAGTATCAACAGTTATCAGTGTGGGTATGATATTTCCTTCTTCTTACACCATTGATTTTTATAATAAACAATAAATATCAAGCCAATATAAATATAAGTGATTGAACATAATAATATATGATATATGCAAACAATCATATTAATATTGAATTATTTTGTGTATATTATAATATATCAGAAAACATCCTGAGTAGAAGTGGGTATATTTTGATTAATCGTAATTCGTTTTACACTGAAACATTTATACATATATATAATAATATACAATATTCATGAAATGTGAACTATTGTACTTATTTTCCTGTTCAGAAAATATGTATAAATTACTTAACACAACTCTTTTTATAAATTTTTCTTACTTATAAGGATTAATTAAAGAATTAATCAATTTCTCCATCAAATTAGAATTAATCCTATAAAAAATTTATATTTGAATTTCATGAATATTTTTCTAGATTCAGGAATAATTTAGATGTTTCATATATTTCGTATTTAAAATATTCAAATATAAAACTACCTGTTTTTATTGCACTTAATTTTACATTGACTTAATATAAATGAATATTTAGAAAACTTGTATAATACAAAAAATAATACAAAAAAAGAAAAAAAAAGAAACTGAAATAATCAGTAGTTTCTTAGAACTTCTTTCATAATAAAGCATTTAAAAAAATAACTTAAAATTAAAAATACGTGTAAATATCAAGAAATCTTGATATATCAATAGCATAAAATTTTCATTTTATACAATTTTCTAATAATTCATGCATATTTATTTACGATATATAATAATTACTTACAGCTAATATCTTTCTCGATGGAAGTTTAACTTTCTGTATTCGTTTGTGAATAAGGATAATTCTGATAGCCTGTTGGGAAAGACGGATTTTGTTGACCGGTTTGTGATTGTGTAGTAGCTCCAGCTCCCGCTGCATAATATCCTGTTGGAGTTGAATTGGCATTTATTGTTGGATAACTACCATAAGCTTGTGGAAATGCATTAGGAGTCCCGCTCGCTGGACCAGATTGTCCTTGCATACTTTGTTGCATTTGCTGTTGAGCCATTTGATTGTTTTGCATTCCCAACTAATAAAAATATAAAATTTACTATTTTTTATATATTGTAATCCATTTTGCCATGGATTTTCATATTTGTAATGATTAACATACCTTTCCTGCTTTCATTTGAGCTTCTATAGCTTCTGCTTCTTTTATTTTACCAATGCTTCTATAATACTCTGCCCACTGTGCGCTATAATCAGCTTGACCTCCATTCTGTGTAGCTCCTGTTTGTTGCTGTTGCTGTTGTGTTTGTTGCTGCTGTTGTTGTGCTGGTCCAGCAGTATTAGTTGTTGATGCATTAGTTTGGTTTTGTGTATTTCCTAAAATATTATAAAATATTTTTAATTTAAATAATCTTTACCTAACTTTTACTTTTGCACAGTCTTTTACCTGATTGTTGATGATCTTGTTTTCCTTGTTTTGCTTGTTGTTCGATCATATCTGCTTCCCTATGCATACCTAACGATCGATAATATTCTGCCCATTGTGCACTATAATCAGGCTGTCCCGTTTGTGGATTTACTTGAACAGGCGCTTGACTTGCTGCACCTTAAGCAACATATATTGTACATATTATGTACAAACATAAATTATATATATTACATATTTATAAATTATATATATTACATATTTATAAATTATATATTATATATTTATAAATTATATATTATATATTTATGTTCTTTTATAATATAAATGTAAACATACTTGTATCAGTAGTTTGAGGTTGACTTGGCCAAGCTTGATAAGCAGTTCCAGTATTCCAAGTTGGATTATATCCAATTGCTCCTTGTGTACCAGTAAATGACGTATTAGCTGGGGCCTTTGATTTAATTTATATCAATTAGTTAATAAGTAAATCAATAATCTTCTTCTTCCATACATTTAAGGATTATATTATCAAATAATTACCATGCCTAATTTTTCGCTAAATATTCTTTTTGCATGCTCTACTTGTTCAGGATTTCCACGAATTATGAAAATTTTCTCATTTTCATTACTTTGATTTCTTCTATCTAGTTCACAATGAGCTCCAGTCTGCTGATTTATTTGTTTAATAGTTTCACCACCTAAAATAATTAAAATAAATGATCAAAGTTTTTAACATCGAGAATATTTATATTACTTCTAGGCTCATAAATAAATATAATTTTACCTTTTCCAATAATAATACCACATTTTGAAGATGGAACAGTGAACGTTGTTTCTATTTTATCTTGCATAGGTCCTCCTTGACGCCTATCCCATCCACCATATTCATTTGGATTACGATTATTGCCAAATCCATTTCCGCGTGAACCACTTCTTGCTCCTATATTACTTCTACCATCATCTCTTCTCTAAAATGTAAACATGAAAATTGAAATGAATATAATATTATTCTTGAATGTGATATTGATGTATATTGAATGTAATATTGATAAAGATGTAATAATTACCATTACACTATCAATAAGTTCCTGAATACGTTGACGCACTTGTTCCACAGCTTGATGTTTTCCAGACACTATACATTTTCTATCACCAGGACCATCCTCCCGTCCCTGTTGAAACTGGACTCTTGCTCCAGTTTCTGCTTGTATTTTTTTAATCATATCTCCTCCTTTACCAATAACAACACCTACTGCTGCTCTTGGGACAAGTACCTAATTAAATATAACACTAATTAATACTAATTAAATATAACATTTATTCATATAAACATGTAACTACAAAAACAAATTAATTTTTAAATGTCATAGACAAAAATTACTAATATTTATAAAAAATTATATTATTAATATATTGCACCTCTACACCATCCGTAGTTCCAGAACCATGATTAAAATTATTATCATTTGAATAATTTCCACTTCTATCACTTCCTCTTATACCTCTATGAAACATTTGCATTTCTTTTTCAGCTATTAATTCATAAACTAATTGTTTGGCATATTCAACTTTTTGTGGATCACCAGTTATCCTACATAAAAAAGAATCTATAATTATTATCACTTAAAGCTGTTTGTATTTTAACAAATTTTTTTCTATATAAAAAAGACAAATAGAAAAATAAAAATAAATTGTAATTTTATTACGATTCTATTACCTTAAAGGTTTTTCTTGTTCTTGAGAAGGACCTTCTTGAATAACAACCATCTTTGCTCCGGATTTTTCTTGCAGCTGTTTAATCGTTTCTCCACCTTTCCCAATAATTAGACCAACTTTTGGTCCAGGAATCATTATTTCAACGAATCCTGGATGACCCATCATTCCTCCACTATTTCCACTCATATCACCAATTCCTTCAGTTCTACTTCTTTGATTTACAATTGATAATACCAATTCTTTAGCTCGACTGCAACACACATAATTTAAATGTGCAATGTAATTTTGAATAATATTAAGTTAAAATATAATACTATTAATATACAGTAATGTAATTTGTTTGCAACACATAATGTGATGTCTACTGTGTGCCAAGATATTATGAATGTCACATTAACATTTTGTTTGACAAAGAGTTATTTCTTAAGTGTATAATAAAATTAAATTTCATGTTAAAATGTCGTTGGCTTAATTATAAGCAGATTTAAATAAATAAAAATTCAATTTCTCTTCTTGTTGCGAATAACACGTCCCCATGCATATCCTATCCTCCTTTCTTCCTTCTTTCTCTCCATATCCTATTGAAAGCAAAAAACTATTAGTAAGTACAAAATTATTAAATTAAAAGCCACAACTTATTGATAAATTCTCAATGAGAAAATATTCTGAAGCGTATGTAAAGTCAAGTATGAGCCCGCTATTCGCATCCAGGAGCTAAGTAAAGATTCTGTAAAACATTTGACAATTTCAATATGCGAAAGCATGTAACCTACATTTAAGAAATGCATGTTAACATGAAGAGATAGCATATGGAGTACTAAACACACGCAAACTATATCTCACCAGTACTATCTGTGCTTAAAGCACATTTTCTAATGAATACAGTCAGTGTATATAAAGCATTATAATTATATGTATTACAACACCACAATATAGATTTTAAAACCATTTTGTCAAATAGTTGATACTTTCAGGTGTTTCTAGGAGATTTTACAGTGGAACTAGGTGGATAATTTGTTATTTAAATAAATAATAACCTAATAAATTTCGTATATATCAAATATAAGGAGGATAGCAGGTTTGTTTTCCTGTATATGTGTTTATAAGATGTACATACATATATGTAAATACATATTTTGATATATGCACATATAATTCTTTCTCCCTTTCCTTCTCCATATATATGTACATGTATTATATATACATATACATATATATATAAAACTGTATGTATATATACATAAGTATATGTACAGATGTAAAATATATATTTTGCATTATGAGTGTGATCAATATGTGCCACTTGACATAACACCACGAAGTAATCCTTTGTTCTAGGCAAAACTTTGTAAAGTGGAAATTGCATTGCATACAAAATAGTTAAAATTAACAAAATAAGAAGGGAAAAACAAGTTACTTGACAGCTTCTCGTGAGCCAGTTAATGTGCAAAGACGTTCAGGTAGCCCACCACTTTCTGGTGCCATTTGTATTTTACATCCTGTTTCGCTCTGCAATCTTGTTATTTGTTCTCCACCTCTGCCAATTACTGCAAAGATATTATTATTAATTATAATTCATTTAAAATTCCTGTGGTAATTTAATTGCTAATTTAAATATATATAAACTATATTAAATTTGTTCTCATTAATATTAATAAATATATTTTTATCATATATATATATTTTTATTATAATCTTTTTATGATAATTTTATTATTTTATTATAATCGTTACAAAATTTATAGAAAAACATAATATAATGCTAATTGTAAATTAAACTGTAGGTATTATTTCAATTTAATACATAAGTATTGAGAATATCTAAAATAATATAAAAATATCTTTATATTAATAATTTATATTAATAATGATTATATAAAGGCAGATTTTCCTTTTTAAATTATAGATGTTTGTTTATATATTACATGTACTGAATTTATATATTACATGTACTGAATTGTTTACATATTACATATATTGAAAAAAATTATTGAAAATAATTTCTTCTCATAAAAATACATGTTCTGTAATTAACATTTATATATTAAGATTTATCATATGTAGCAATTTTTGAATATTTTTTAATTATTAATAGTATTACTATATTTCAAGATATTCTTAAATCTAGAGTTATGTCAAATGTGCAAATTATACAGTTTATATAATCTTTATTAAGATATTTCAAATTTTTGCTATATCATTTCTGACTTATATATCAGGAAGAAAAAGTTGCTACATCTATATGTATAACCTATTGTAATTTTTCAGAAAATTTTGATCAAACTTTGATCATTTATTTTGTCATTTGATATACAATTTACTTACTCAGACCGACCATGTTATCTGGAACTCTGATATCTTCGTTACAAATACCTCCTACATTTCCAATTGGTCCTGCTGAAGATCCTGTTTGTCCTGTTCGTCCTGTTGGATTAATTGACTCCCCTAATACGTTACTTCCTGCTGAGCCACGAAGTCCCATTAGTGGGTCTGATACCAATGATGCCATCTTTTTTGCTTCAGGTTCTGAAATCATGAATCCATTTCAGAAATGTAAAATTTATTTCTTGTATTTATATTGATATCTAATATCAAATTTTTATCATACTTAAAGAAATTTTAACTAATGCTTCAATATTATTTTTTAATACACCTTTTATTGGTAAATTCATATCTGTATACTGAGTTGCTTTTAAATCGTTTTGTTCTGATTTAGGTTGTTTTTTTTTCATACTTACTCCAAGGTCGCAAAGAAGCAAAACCTCGGTCTTCCTTCATAAAAAAATTGAAGCTACTGTTGACGTACATATTATATACGTAATATTGGATTCTGTCAGTTTGTGTTCAACTAACATGATGGTTTTGCGTGTACCTCGTAAATGACACGCGTTGTGGCAGACCGCGTTAGTAGTATTTTCGGAAGTTTTTTGTTTTTTTTAAATTTTTTTATTACTATTTAAATATTTACATTCCATAAAAATAGTTATTCAATTATTGAATCGGCATTTTTGAAATAATGAAAAAAAAGTTTGAAAAATATTGCTTGTTCTATTACTATTTAATTCTTATATGATATATCAGAATTCTGTTTTCATTTGTTATATGTTTCGCAGTTACATTTTTTTAATAGAAATTCTTTTTTAAAGTCATGATTAATAATGTATAAATCCAAAGATCCAAATATTTCTTCGGTAATTAGTTATAGATTTTCAAATAATTTTCCATTTTTCTCATATTGATTAAACTTTGCTTTGCTCCAAAAAGTTAAAATAACATGTAGCAATAAAAACTATTGGACAATGTTCTAGAAACTTGGAAAAATATTCAAGAATTTTTGAAATTTTTAAGATATAAAAATGTAAAAAAAAAAAACTATATAGATATAACTGACTCATCAGTAAAAATAAGATAGCAGACAAAGGGTTAATACGTTTAATTTTGCAATAAATTCTTCATACATGTACGTGACATTACCTGATCCATCTTCAAGAGGGCGTTTTAACTTAGAGTCTTGATTATTTTGTGCACCAGCTGGATTAATTTTTGCAGCTATCTAAAACATACAAACACATTTAAATTCATAGTTTATTAATAATTAATAGTGTGTTTAACTAAAATAAATGACTTAAACTAGTAATTATAAGATAGGCTTACAATCAAAGTTCATTTTAATATTTATTAAAAATATATAATTTACATAATGTGTACTATGTGCATAGAAATAATATAGTTTAAATAAAACAAATAAATTAAAACTTCAGAACAAATTAACTGTAAATTAAGATTTATCAACGTTATGAACACTATATAAATATCCAAGTAAAATTTCTTAAATAATTTTCAAGTAGAATGCTAAAATATTAAAATATAACATTATTTAATCTGATTACTTAATGTTCCTGTGAAATTTTTGTTTGTTGATGACTAAAATCGACGTATGGTTTTAACAAAGATGTGAAACGCTACGTGGCCCACTTATAGAAATATGATTCAATCATAACCTGAATTACATTAATTTCATGGATTCACTTACTTGTTTTGCACGTTGCAAAGCTGCCGCAAATGCAGAGCTTTGACTAAAATTTTGAGGCGGAGCAACCGCTGAATAGTCACTCATGATGGAACATGAAGCAGCAATGCAAATAAAACTATCCCGATATTTTTTCTAAGAAATTAATAATCGGTACCGTACGACTAATTTCCACACTTAATATTTGAAATATATTTTCACACAAAGTATAAATATTTCAACGCACTGCTTTGAAAATATACAATAGTACAAAGCAGAGGTTTATGAGTGAAAGAACTGTGCTTTCACATAGAGAACAGTACAGCGCAAGCGTCGGTCATAGAATACAAAATTTTGAAGATTCATTGTTATTTTAGAATTGATACTATATGTACCTCGAATAAATATATATATAGCATATTTGTATAACTATATTTATATATGTAAAATACATGAGTAAATAATATATTTTGTATATTTATTTGTGCAAAAGTTGAAATTGCAAAAATATGAAACACTTTTCATATATAGAAATGTATACGTTCAACTTGTATAAAATTAAATCAAATTGAGTTGAAAAAATAAAATTTGAATGAATATCTTACTTTTTGAATAAATCAAATATTTATTTACGCATTAAATGAAATATACATATACATTTGATGTATTTATGATTATACATATATATTGCTGATATATGTAATTATAATTTTTTACTATACATATATAACTTTAAAGTGTCTATAATTTAATTATTAATTACAAAAATGAAAATAAAATAATTTATATAAAAAAGATATTATTATTTTATTTTCATTCTATGTATATAGTTATGGTTAACCTAATGGTAATAAACAATATATATATTTCATAACCTAATGTAATAAACACATATATATCTTTTTTTATTAGTAATTTTATAAAATACATAAACGAACTTGTTTAGCGCATATGATATCAACTAAATAACAAATTATTGATTATGTAATAATATGTATATATATATATACATATATTATTTCAAAATATGTAGTTCAAAATAAATATATTTGTTCGAAACTTTTTTTCATGATATGTGAAAGAAGTTAAAATTTATAATGTATTTCATTGCTAAATGAAATTACTATTCTAAAGTTGTAAAATAATATATCGAAATATTTTTCGAAAATAATGGTACGTTATAACTTGAAGTTGGAAACGCTATATACGTAATAATAAAAATTTACACTATCATTGTACATTTTTACACATACATATACAATTTTATGTTGTGTAAAATTATGTTTGATCATAAGATTAAGATACACACGATGAGTAGTCATTTACCTAAAAATCATATTGAGTAATAGTTGATGTGGATTTTAAATAATTTTGAAATTTCATAATTTTCATTAAATTTGTATAATGATGGAAGTGTCATGTTTGGAACCTTGTGTTCAATTAAAACTTTCAAGAGAGGAGTTAGAAAATATTGTAGACAAGGCTAAGGATTGGGCTCTTATGCATGGTATTAATTTATAAATATATTAAATTAAAAAGAATTTTATTTGTTTTTGTTTTATTGCTTAAAATATAAAATAACAATTGTATCGAAATTAAAAAAATGCATATTTCACTTATTCTTGTTCAGGTATTAGTATACGGTCAAAAGTATCCTTTAATAAAAATCAGGTACAAGTTTTGCCATTTACTTTACTACCATCAAGCTTTCCTAGGAAACATTTTGAGAAAGTCAAAGGCATTCAAGTGTTATTGAATGAATTGATACATAAAGTAGCACATAATAATGATTTTTTAATAAAAAGTTTGAGAAGGTACGTAAAAATGATATATTATTTATATTTATATATGTTATACATATATATATTGTTTTATATCTTTTAGTACAATTGGTGCAGATCCATTTACAGCAAAATTGTTTAATATATACGAAACTGTATATAAAGAAGGATTTAATCAAGTAAAACAAAATTATAATATAAATATAATTAATATGCATTTATTTCAAATAATTTATGATAAGTAAGCCTCTGTATTATTTTCCTGTTATAGACAGTAAGTCTTGGCTTACTTCGATCTGATTACATGTTACATGACAATCAGATTAAGCAAGTTGAGTTAAATACTATTGCAAGTAGTTTTGGAGGAATAGTTACAATTACTTCTCAGTATCACAAGTGAGTTTTTATTCTAAAATTTGTAAATGTAATTTATTTATGTAAACATAATATGCTCTTTTTAGATACATCTTATCAGAATTAGGATATACAGATAAAATAAAAAATGTAAGTATCATTTATTATTTCAAGTTTCTTAAATTTCCTTGTTATTACATTTTCATGTTTAGATTCCAGAAAATAATCCAATTAATGGATTATGTAAAGGGCTAACATATGCATGGAAATTGTATGATAATAAAAAGTAAGTTGATATAATATGATAAGAAGTAAAAATGTGAATAAATTATTAAATAATTAACATATTTTATTATAGGGCTGTAATATTATTCATTGTTGAAAGTATCACTTATAATATATGCGATCAGAGATTTCATGAATTTGAAATTTCTAAAATTAATCCTGATATTAAAGTGATAAGAAGAAGTTTAAAAGATTTAGTATCTGAAGCAAGGCTAGGACCAAATAAACAATTAATAGTGTATGTAAAATGTTATAAACATATTGTTTATAAACAAGTAATTAACAGTTGTTTATTATCAAGTTTATTGTCTAAGCCCATAAAATTATTTTCAATTATTTGTTTTTAGAGGAGATTTAGAAGTTTCTGTAGTTTATTTTCGTTCTGGTTATGAAGTTGAAGCTTATCCTACCGAACAAGAATGGGAAATTAGATTACTAATTGAACGTTCTAAAGCTATAAAATGTCCATCAATACAATATCATCTAGCTGGTACTAAGAAGGTATAAAGAATATTAATTTGTTTTTTAAGCAGTGTGAAGAACAAACAACTTTTAGGTACAACAATCTCTAGCTTATTCTAATGCGCTGAATGTATTTTTAAAAGATGATAATATAATAAAACAAATACAAGAGATATTTGCTGGACTTTATTCTTTAGAATTTGTGAGTATTAAAAAAACATTATTTATACTTAGAAGTTTTATATATATAATCATTTTAATGTTATAATTTTGAAACTATTTTTATGGCTTCTATTGTATAGAATAATGAAACAGAAAGTATAATTAATGATGCTATATCATATCCAAAAAAATATGTATTAAAACCACAAAGAGAAGGAGGTGGAAACAATGTTTATGATAAAGACATAAAGTTGTGTTTAAAATCTATGAGAAATTCAGAGGAAAGAACAGCTTGGATATTAATGGATCGTTTTTATCCTCCCGTGCAAAAGAATTATATTGTATGTGCTCATAATGAACCATTTGAAGATCATCATTTACACTTTTCTAATGTTGTATCAGAACTTGGTATATATGGTGTCATAATAGGGTATGTGTTAAAATACATTTTTCTAATAATTATTCAGACAATTATATCGAATGACTATGAGTTTTTATTTTACAGAAATCATGATAATATTATATATAATGAAGAGGTAGGACATATTTTGAGAACAAAACCATCAAATGAAAATGAAGGTGGAATAGCAGCTGGAATTGGTGCTATTGATAGTCCTTATCTAATTAGTTAATATAGAAGATACGTA